ATGGATTTTCTGACGATATATTTTCTCACTTATTTGGAGGAGGTCTATTTGGGGCTATGGGAATGGGGTTTGGTGGTGGTGGCCGTCGACGGAAACAGAAAGGAGATGACACAATCCATCCGTTGAAGTATATTGATATTTTTACATACAAACTCTCAAGCACATAGTATTGTACTGGAAGCCACGTGTACTGTTGTTCATTTTCAACAACTAATAATGTAATGGTAATCATGAGTAGGTGAAAAAGAAATACCCTGTAAATGTTATTAATATATTTGAGAGTCCCTGTTCAAAATTTGTTGTTGTTTTTAATGTTGGTGATTTTCAGAAAATCTATTTATACCATGATGTTTCTTTATATTTCTATAGGACACACATATATAGGTCAAAACTTTAACTTTACTATTATTCTAAGTAAAAACAATAAATTTTTTTATGTTTAGTTATTCTCTCTTATTTTTAGGGTTTCCCTAGAAGACCTGTACAATGGAAAAACAGCAAAGCTACAACTTAGTAAAAATGTAATTTGTTCTACTTGTAATGGGTAAGGATAGTTTTTAAATCTATTATAAATGAAAACACATTTTGCACCCATTAAACACACTTTATTATTAGGTTGATGCAGAACTACTTTTATGTGATTTACATTAAATGAATTACATTAAAACCTTTTGAAAAACTATTTCACTTGTGCAGTCTTAATTTTAAAAAGAATGTTTTTGTTTTGTTGGCTTAATAAGTAAGGTTTGACAGTATGTAATACAGTGACATTGGTGCATAGAATTTTAATATAACTTAAAGCATTATAAATATATGTATCATTCAAGCATATTCATGTAAATATTACAGTGTGCATAATTTGTTATGAATTCAATCTTTCATTTGTTTCTGTCTTATATCAGTTATAACAATTAATGTGACTAAAGTATACATGTAAAACTTACAGTTCTTTCAGAATTCATCACGTTTGACACTATTACCTACATTCTACTTCCAGTTTCGATACCTGTGGTGGACAGAGCACAGCTGGCACATTGCATATGTAACTTTGCGCTTAACAACAAACAAATGCTTACAGTTTTACAGTATCTTTTTTATAGAAACAAAATTCAAAATTGTCAACATTGTACCTATTTATGTTTAATAAATTGTTGGGATTTATTTTAACAGTAAACTATGTCAATTATATTATATTCATTAGATGTGTTAACTATTTAATATATCATTATTAAAGAATTTAGTTTAAATTAAAGATGCATATTTAACAATAAAATTGTGTCTTCATCAAAATCTGTAGATTTTTATCACAGACATTAACCACACTTTTATATAATTTTGTTATAGATAATCATACTATATTTTACTACACTGTAGTGGTAATTATGAGTGAGAGAAAATTAATACCCTGCAAAATACAATTTTGCAAATAGAATAAGTCTGGTTTCAACCATTAGTGTATATGGTATGTGGTAGACATATTTACACTCTTTACAAATAAATCTTGGTAGAGATCTATTCTTTTAAATGTCTGATTTTATTAACTTATTTCTCTCTTTTTTTATTAGGGAAGGAGGGAAACATGGATCTTCTCAGACTTGTCGAGCTTGTCATGGACAAGGTATTAAATTAACTCTTCGGCAGCTTGGGCCAGGGATGGTCCAACAGATGCGGTCTGTATGCCCTGACTGTAGAGGAGAAGGTAAAGAAATCTGTTTCTGAAAGCTTCTTCATTCTTGTTTGCACGTGACTTTAAGCATGGATAAGAATTTCCAACCAGTTGTTGGCTTCTCACTTTTTCAGACACCCTACTGGCCATTCACAAGATAATTCCAATGAGAAGAAATCTGTAAACAAAAAAATCTCTTTCATATTGCTGTAGAAAATTTATGTTACTATCCCTGGTAGTAAACACTAGTCTGAAAGTCTGCTTCACCAATACCAAACATTCTTTCTAAATCATGCTCTCTGCTTTGCTCAGTAAGTCAGTGCCATATGAGATATGATGCGTGCTGTTGTTGCCACATTCATTTCAAGATGAAAATACTGCTGAAACTTGATGAAAATGCATAGAAGGTGAGAGGGATCAACAGTGGTTATAAGGAGAAATTATGCTTGTTTGATAGTGATGATTCTTGAACTCAAATGGCAGTGGAGAAGTGTAAAACATGGCAACAATCTGGATGGCTTTTTCAAAAGAATAATGTCCTGTTATTAGTGCAAGTATGAGAGATACACAATACAGAAGCAGTAATGTTAACATTAATATTGATTCTGTCATTGTGTGTAGGAGTCAGAGGGCATGTCATCACGTTTGTAGACTTGCATTCAAAACTTTATTGAACGACTATTTTATGAATGTATGTCTATAAATTTGGTATCAAATTATAGATTATAATTCAAATTTTAATATTATACATTGGTTAATTTTTAATTTAAAAGTAACTGTTAAAACAAATTCTTAAATATCATTTTTGTGTGTTGCGTGGTTTATAGAATGCAGCTTTGGTTGAAATGAAATGTTTGTGATGTCCAAGTACAATGCTGTTACTTAATATGAAATAGACTCAAATTATTGATACTGACAAGCTAGAATATAAAATAAGAACCTCGCATCTTTTCTATTTTCTGAGATATTATATTTAGCGAATTAAACAAGTTGGCCTTGCTCACTTCTTCTATCTTTGGAAATGTTTGATTATGTACACCTACTATGCTTTATGATGTGTTTATAACCAATCAAATGCCAAGAATTTCCCCCAGCTGGTTTTCTCAGCCTTTACAAAGTATTTTTGCTAGAAAATCCATCTTTTACATTGTGGACTCGCAGAGAAAGGGCAAGATTAAATGGAGTTTTTTTAGACCTGAATATTGGTTCAGTAGAACAAGGCTAAGACAGTTGCACTTTGTAAAGACCGGTTTTATATTATTGGTTGCAGTAACATAAAGCTGCATGTGAAAGTTTCTTCTAATCTTTTCACACTTATTTCTTATGTTTATTCTACTGTTAGCAGCTGAAGTAGAAACCTGCTGAATATAAATCAATAAAACACCACTCCTTACTTAGTTTGACACCATTAATACCAAATAAGCTCCTGCGGCACAACTCCCAGAAAACACAGTGGGGTACGATTTATCAACTTGTTGACAGTATAATGGTTACAACGACAATTGTCTAAAGTATTATAAAATGTTTATGTTATGACTCTGTAGAAAATTTGGGCCAATCCAATAAGTTGATAAGCAGATGTATCCTACATCAACTATTTGAATCACTACTTCAAGAACACAGTAGGATAAAATTTGCCAGCTTCTTTACAGTACAGCAGTGGTTGCAACAAGATTTGTCTAAAGTACTTTATAAAAGTGAGAGAAAATATTTATGATATGGCTCTGTACAAAGTTGTATCAATCCAATAAACTTGTGTGGTCAGGATTTGGTGATGGTATAGGTGTGAAAGTGCTTATGAACATCCTGTCTCCTATTTTACTATGCTTACGCAGTAACTAATTAATTTATGTGTAACTTCTGTAATGTTAGTCAGACACAGCTGAAAGATCAATAATATATATATAGATGTATAATGTTATGAGATTTAAGCTATTTGTGATTTTATGTTATAATTTGTAGTCATTATAAACAAAAAATGTACTAGTTAGATCTATTTCCTAACTTTTTATGGTGATTACAAAATCTGTCGAATCGACCAAACCCGTACAGAGATAAGATAGAGAAAATATAAAGTTTTACTGAAAAAACAAGTATTATAGGTTTTAGAGATTACACAAATGAGATTTGTGATACAAAGAAAAGTATTTTTAATTCACTTGGACCAATCAAAATAGTCAACATGTTAATGGACATACTGTATTAAAATATATAGTATGAAACCTATAATAATATGGTTACAAGGTTGGTCCCTGTGTCCAAGCCCATAGTAAGAGAGTTAAAGGCAGTAGAATTTCTTTAAAAATAACTCATTTTCAAACCTTTGACCCTCCCTCTGGAATGTAGTGCAGATCTTGGACTTAAATGTGCTTGCCATTAACTACCAGATTTTTTTTCAGCCTCATCTTTGTTTCAGAGGTATGGAAGCAT